TGGACTTAAACCCTTCAGCAGCTTCTATAGCTGAGCAAGGACAGACAGACATAAGCTCTGACTACAACATCGAGATGTTCCGCACTTCAAATCCTTCTGCCAGCCATAAAGTGAGATTTGCCAGTCAAAACATATGTTTAAATATGCACCAATTAAAATAACCTTGGTCATCTCATCCTTCCAGAGATGATACGAAAAGATGGAAAACATGGCAAAGTTCTGGCACTGTAATTAAGCTGCAATTTTTCCTTATTAGACTTATTTTCCCTAAGGATCAATCTACAACTCCGTTTTAACATGAGTCACTGTTATGATCACTGCCTAATCTGCATTACATGCAAAAATTAATAACTCCTCTACTACATCATGCAGATTGGAGGGTAAGGAGAGAACTCGCTAACAATGTACAGGATTCCTTTCTCAATGAACTTCAGGAGGACTTGGGGAAATAAGTTAATTTCTATTTCTGTATGCCTTCTCTGTAGGTCTAAGAGCCTCATTTCAGAGATTCACTGAGTAATGCCTCATTAAGAAACAAAGGTTAATCAAACTCTCCTGCAAAGTTTTTGAGGCTTCGCCACTAGTAGTTTTATATTTAAGATTTTATCTTCAGTCAAGTTTTTAAGCAAAAATTACAATTAATCTAATAAAAAACCAGCATCTGATACACAGCTTTGCATTGCAGATCTTGGCTTCAGTTAAGACAACTGATGTTATCATACAAAATAGTGAATGTAGCAGCCTGTACCTACAGCATGCGTTAAAAGAGGTATTTCAAGTCACAGTTGTAGACTTTTTTAAATCAGTCCTTCAAAGAAACTAATAAATGTAGATCCCCTGCAACTGTGGATCTAATAAATCTAAGCAAATATGAAGTTTATCAGACTCTTTAGAACTGCTAAAATAGGGTTATAACAGCTCTGCCCTCCAACCTGAACCTTCATTATGTGCTAGGGATGGTTAAAAAAAACCCTAAAACGAATCAAAAAAGCATAAAGAAAACAAGACAAACCAAACCTTGAAAACACTAAGAAGGACTGCCATAGTAATGATCACATTTGCCTTAACTACAGTTTCATTTTGTAAGGGATCAATGTTATTTGCCTTTAAAAAATAGTTATACTAAAATTGAACTAGAAGAAAAAAAGGAGAAGAAAACTAATGAGTTAGCACGGGAATATGCCTCTATCTCAAATGGCTTTAGCCTAAATCTGGCATACTCAGCTCCTTGAAAATAGGATTGCTTCAATTACTTTATCCTTCAGTCTAAAAACTGCTGCACTCAGTATAACCAGTTGGATGTTCAGACTCACAGAATTTGATTCTCAGCAGTGTTCACTGGAAGAAATATCATTAGATGTTCCAGCATTGCCATCCACCCCTCAATTCCAAGACACAGCTTATCTTTTCTGCCTCTAATATTTTTATGTAAAACATTTTTTATTATTATATGTAATGCAGGCTATACTGTACTTATATTTCTAGCCTGCAAAGGGACATTAAAGAGCTGATTTTGTAAACCTTTGAATTAAAAGGAAAAAAATCCCACCCAATCTTTTTCTTTGAGTGTTAAAGAAAATTTCCTTTTGAGTAACCCCAGAACTTGTGAAAGAGAAATGAGGCTTTAAAGCAGTATCATTTCAGGCTGCAGAATGAGCCTCACAGATTATTTACTGCAGTGAAGGTGCTATGTGTTGAATGGTGACTTCAGGACCATGGTACACTAGAAAAAAGGCTGCAGCTAGAAAGGTTTATGATTAATTCCCAAAGAGAATATTCCACCTATAAGACCACAGGAAGAAAGATCTTAACAGAAACACTGTGACAAATTTCATACTGAATCAAGGGTCAGATAGTGGGAAGTATTCATTCCACCCAAGTTTGACCAGAGCACAGTGTTTTGACTCATGCTGGCAATTACATTTTGCTTCTCCTCTAATTTATGGCCTTTTAACTCAAAGGTTGTCAGGATCCAATGTAGTCTCTACCATGGCTTTCATGGGAAAATGGAGGATAAGAAAAGGGAAGTGAACCTGACCAAGCAGGTCTGTAGTTCAAGAATGAAACTCTGTGTGCTTTGTATGTGATTCCAGTGACCATTAGTAAAATCACGCTTGAGGTAAAAAGAACCATTTTGAACAACAAAAGAATCTTAAAGAGCAAGGAAAAACCTCAAAGTGCTTCACCCAGCAGATGGACAAGTTGCCACATACACCCCACCTATCTGTCAGTTACTGTAGCGCACAGTCAAAACCAGCATTTCCAGGCCAAATAAAAGAAGGACCTGAATAACCTTGTCTTTCATGTGTTTACAGAAAGTTTGTCCCAAGTCTACAACAAGCAAATAAAAAAAGCAGAGGTAGATCTATCCAAAATCCAGTGAGTGGGATGTAGAAGCTGCCATCATAGTACAACTACAAAAAAAGAAGTTTAATGGATGACACTTTTCTAAGCTTCTAGTCTTTTCCACTGCATGCTGACTACCACAGCATCTATAGACTACTCTTCTACATGTCCAAGATCTCCTATGCCTTGCAGCAATGCCAAAGAAAAATGCATTAGAAAGAGGTGTGAAATAAGAAAATAGAGGTTTTGGCTCAATTTTAAAAATGAGATGCAGTAAAAAAGAGGACAAACACAGAAAGGAAGCACAATTTTCACTCGATATTGTCCTTAGATTTATAAAATATGTCCACTAAGAAAACTGTAGAGGTGGAAGTGACAGATTAAGAAGCTGAAGAAACCCTTGGGGTTGAGGAAAATCCTGAAAATTCCAGAGACTAGAGAAAAAAATCCAGGAAGGTAATTCACTTTCACACTCTGGATTACAAAAAACAGCTGAGAGCATGCAAAATGTACACACAGGGTACTAATATTTCACCAGTCATTGTACTGGCGGTTTAATGGGCATATACAGACCAGAAGTCAGATGGGAAGAAGATTATAAATGAACTTCTCTTACACAGCATGAGAAATTAGTTCAGATAAGAAAAGTCACTCAGTCATTGAAGTGAGGAAAAACAGGAGAGGTCAAGGCTTTTGGGACTAAAACATGTTTATGCTTAGGGAAGGGAGAGAAAAGAGACAAACTGGATGGGGGAAGGAAGAAAAGGCAAAAGGAACGCTGTCACATGAAATTTGCAAGTGTGAAGTAAGTGAAGAGACCAGCTTGAAAGGAAAAGGTGATATGGACAATTCACTTGGGTCCCCCTCCCTTCATAGACCTAGTTGTCTTGACATGTAACAGTCCTGCCAAAAACTCCGGCTGCCTTACTTACGTCCTTTGCAGTCTGACATTCCATACATTATAAGCCACCTGCAGATCATTGTACTACCATTGTGCAAGTTTAAAATTAAAAAATAAGCATGAGATAAGCAATGTGGTACTCAATATTAAAACTGAAATTCCCAGTGATCGCTACCTTAAAATCACAGAATCACAGAATAGCTTCAGTTGGAAGGGACATTAAAGACCATCTAGCTCCAACCTCCCTGCCATGGGAAGTGACACTTTCCAAATGACAACACAAAGGCATCCACAATGTCTCTGGGCAACCTGTTTCTTACCCTCTGAGTAAACAACTCCTTCCCAACATCTCTGAATCTATCCTCTTCCAGATTAAAGCTGTTCCCCCTCATCCTGTCACTCTGTGCTGCTGTCAAAAGTCCCTCTCTCCAGCTTTCCTCTTTGGCCTGGTCTAGTCTGAAAGGTGGCTAAAAGATCTCCACAGAATACACTGATAGTTTGATTTGTGGAGATCTCTTAAACAATATGAAACCATACAACAGCAAGTGTAATTTATGAGTTTCACCTCAAGTTTAACGTTACCATCTTGGCTATTAATTCTTAGAATATCCCAGCATGCTTACTCTTTAAAAACCCCTTACAAACCCACACACCTATGTACCTGTATGCGGCACTGCAGAAGAACCTGTGGCATGGAACTGCACTCATTCACACAGAATGATATTATTTACTGTAAATGTTTGAGTTCCAATATCGTTACATAAAGTTATCTCAACATGTTGCCAGAAAAATCGCCATCCCACCCTGATCAAATTGCATCCCATTTTCAAGTAAACTTACTGGCAGGAGCTATGGAAGGAACTGCTACTAAAAAATGTCTTTTGGGACCCACGTAATACTTACACGCTAATAAAAGTGGAAGCTATGCCCACATATCTGAGGTGCCCTGCACTGTCAAGATCATGTGTGCTGAGTGTTCACTCATCACTTGGTCACTTGCTCGCAAAGAGTTTCCTTTTGGTTTGTCTTAGAAAAAATTAAGCCAGTTTTATGGCACCACTTCATGGCAAAACAAATTTATTGAGATGATTTTGATTACTGTGATGATACAGGGAACATCCTAAGTAGGACAAACACCTGCACTAAAGTAGTAGAGTATCTGAACTACATAGAGCATAGTCCCATCACAAACCACAGGCAAAAGAAAATATACCATTCAACCAAAGTATAAGTAGTTGTTTTTTCAAGAATTACTCTGCATCATCTGCAGCCTGTTTGGAACTAATTAAGTCTCTGTAGATTAAAGTCCTGCAATCAAGCCCATGAACTCCAGGCAAAATTTCCAGCCCGAAAATATCCTGTGCGTCTTTACGTGTTAGTCACCAGCAGGAAACAGGTGCAATGCAGAAAATGCAGTTACAACATCGGGAGAGTAGTGCATTATTTCGTTTATTGGTACTCCAGCTTTCAGTACTCCTAGCGAGCTGACAGGAACAGAAGCCAACTACGAGTCCCTGGCGAACTGCCCCGCTGGGAGGAAAAGAGCCGTCAAGTCCCTCGCTCTACGCCGCACGGACGAGCGGCCTCGTGTTCTCCCGGCCGGTAGCAGAGCCCTCGCTGCCGCCCGGGGGGTGAGCTCTCCCGGGGGCAGGCGGCACCTCCTTCCCGCGGCGGGCCGGCCGGCCGGCGGGGCGCAGTCCCCGTCCCGGGCCGCGGCGCTGCGGAAGGGCTGCGGCCGCCGCCGGCTACTCACCATCTCCTGCCTCAGCAGCTGAAGTTTCGTCTCCAGACGGGCCAAGGCGGCAGCGCGGCGGCGGCGGGGGCCGGGGGCCGCGGCGGCGGGGCGAGCCGGGAGCTCCTCCCCGCGCAGGGGCCGCGCCAGGCTCTCGGGCACTTTGCGCCCCAGCTTCTGCTCGACGTCGCGGAGATCAGGCGGGGCGCCGGGCTCCATGGCTCGCCCTGCAGGGGCCCGAGGCGGCAGCGGCGGCACTACCCGCGCCCGCGGGGCCGCTGCCGGGGCGCCGAGCTGCGGAGAACCGCGGCAGCGCCGGGGACGGCGGATGCGCCGTGCGGGACACCCGCGGCGGGCATGGGCATCTCCCGGGCGCACCGGGCGCACCAGCCCCTCCCGCCCTCTCCCCGGCCGCCGGGGAAAGGCAACAACGGCCCCGCTTCGCGCACGAGACCGCGACGCGCCCCGGCAGCTGCGGCCGGCACAGCGCGACCCGAGTCATCGCCCGTCCCGCCCGGCTGCAACTTTAAAGGCGCGGGCAGGTGGAAGAGGCGCGGCGTGGCCCTCCCTCCGCGCTGCCTGAGCGCACAGGCGCGGCACGCCCGCGGCCCCGGGGCGCCCCCGCCCGGCGGGGACTGCGCCGCCCGCACCGCCCGCACCGCCGGAGCGCCGTGAGCCTCGGGACGGCGGCCGGGCGCGCGGAGGAGAGGCGAAAAGAAAGGGAAAAAATAAATAAAAAAGAGAAGAGAACGAAATAAAGAGAGAAAACGGGAAGGGAAGGGAAGGGAAGGGAAGGGAAGGGAAGGACTAGAACTAGGAAAATAAATAGGAAAAGAAAAAGAGAAAATTGAAAAGAGAAAAAGAATCACCCCTTCTAACAGGAGCGTAAGTACAGTGTGAATGGTATTCCCAGTCATCAAACATATTTTATTGAAGACAAGTGCATTTCTCCCAGTCCCCCTTAATATTTCTTGTCCTTAATATTTTTTGTCCCACTCTTCTTTAAGAAGTAAAGCTTGCAAGCTGAGTCAGTTGCTTCATCTGATATCAAGGCACATGTTGGCTGTGCAGGTAGCAGCACTGCATGTCTCCTGTTGCTCTGTGTCCCACGATGTTCCTTGTCCCATTTCACTGAAAAACATTTTGGGCACTAAAGTACTAATAGCTGCATCTGTGGAGGTACAACTGACACATGTCAAGGGGGTTGAGAAAGTGAGGCCAGCCACTCTTGGTGTTAGATTCTCTATAACAACTAGAATCACAAATAGTGGTGTGGTGAGCTTGGGAAAACAAAGTGTTTTAACAGCAAAGTGGATTTTTTTGGTGAAATAATTTCATCAGTACTTTAACAGCTAAGATTTATTATCATGGACCTTTACAAGGGTTTAGTACTGTCAAGTAAAAAATCTGCAGATGTGTCTGGTATCTTAAAGGTGCATTGGTTTTAGACCAAGACCCTTATTTTATCGCTATAACCATCTGGAAATCCTGTGTGAGAGGCATATGAAAAGATATTTATTTCCCTCATATTTGTCAAAAATGTTTAATTCATATGACAAAAAAATAGATTCATATTCTTTTCAGAAAAGAAAGCCATAACCAGCTGCTCACACCAAATAAGAATCTGCCTTCTTACTGCCACCAGCCCCAAATATTTCCTGAAGTTCTATTTTGATTTATTGATATTTACAGTCTAGCTTCTATATAATCCCATGTAAATACTGATTTATGCCATTCTGTAAATTAGTAGGGTTCACACTGAAAGCTCACAACTCTGTGTTGTTAAGTAAAAGTTTACGTTTACGTGACTGTTGTTACAACACTGAACTGTAGAACTTCTTCGTTCTACAAGCAGCATCCTATAATAAATGTCATGATTCAACTGTATTCAGACTTTCTGTTTGAAGAAACTTAAGAAAAATTCTGAAATATTATTTTTTCTTTAAATATTTCAGATGACCCGAATTATCAAGCTTTTAAAAATGAAAATGGAAGAGAGATAAAATAAAATAAATATGCTTGTTTGAAAAAAGGTTTTTCAATGATAAAAAAAATTCCCCAAATCCTACTCTAAATAATCTAAAAGTAATGAAAGTAAATAGTTTCTGTTATTCTAGATAAGCTACATTTGGAAAGTAAACTACATAATGTACTCTATGTGTTCATGAATTTATGCTTTACCATCTGATGGCTTGATTCTTACCTCCCGCTGGCCTTGCATTAGTATAGCTGCTAGCAAGTCAATGGGTATACTTTTTATTACAAAGATTAATGACAAAGATTAAAAGATGCCTATGTTACAGTCACCTTGTTAAATCTTCAAGGTTACCGGATTTGCTAAACTAATAAGTGTTTCAAGGAAACAGGTTTCTCTTTAGGTAAACAAAAACAGTAAAAATTATGTAAATTCCAGTTTTGTCTTGCGGGACAGATCCTCTGCCTTCATTTTAGAATCATAAAGTGTCCTATCTTGTAAGGATCCATAGGTCCATAAGGATCATCCAATCCGGTGCCTTGCTCCTGGCAGGACTACCTAAACTAAAACCTAAACCTAAACCATATGATGAAGAGCATTATCCAGACACTGCCTGGACTCTTGCCAGGCTTGGTGCTGTGACCAGTTCCTGGGAAACCTGTTCCAGTGACCATCTCTCTTGATAAAAAACATTTTCCTAATGTCCAGTATGAATTTCCCCTGATGAATCTTCATTCCATTTCCTCGTGTCCTGTTACAGGTCACCAGAGTAACAGTATAATCTCTTCCACTGACCACTGTAAGGAAGCTGCTGTCTCTGATAAGGCAATCTTCAATCTTCCCTTTTCCAAGGTGAATAAAGTGATCTCATCTGCTCTTTAATGCCTTATCCTCAAGGGTTTTCACCACTTTGGTCACCCTCCTCTGGACACACTCTAACAGCCTTGTACCTAGGAATCCACAGCTGCACACTGGTCTTGAGGTGGATTACACCAGTGCACTGTGGAGCAGAGCAGTCACCTTCCTTGCCCAGCTGATGATGCTGTGCTTGATGCACTCCAGAATACATCTGTCTCTTTTGACCACCAGGACACATTGTTTACACATATCCAACTTGCCATCTACCTAAACCATCAGATGCCTTTCAATTGGTGATTACCATCTCTCTAGGTTATACACATCTTTCTGTAAATTCTCTCCACCCTTGAGGGAGTTAACAGTTCCTCCTATTTTAGTATAACTAGCAAAGTCCCTTAATTCCCACATCCAGATAATTTACAAGAACACCAAAGAGCACTGGCCTAAAATTGAGCCCTGGGGAACCCCACTGGAGATTGAGTGCCAGCCTGATATGACCGCATTTAGTGTAATTCTTTGAGCCAATTGCTCACCCAACATATACTGAACTTGAGTAGCTGTGTGCTGGACATTTCATCCAGGAGGATGCTGTGAGAGACAGTGTCAAAAGCTTTGTTAAAATTGAAGAGCCCACATTACTGCCTTTCCTTGGACAACTAGATGGGTGACTTTGTCATAAAGGAAAATTAATTTAGTGAAGCAGGACTTTCCCCTTGAGAACCAGTGTTGGTTATGACTAATGACTGTATTGTGTCTCTGGTATTTTTCACTAACTCAGAATAAATTTATCCATAATTTTTCCAGTCACTGAAGTGAGACTTACAAGCCTGTAATTACCAGAATCTTCCTACACTTTTTGAAAATTGGGAGAACATTTGCTGTGCTTCTGGTTCACTGGGACCACTCCAGGCTCCAATCACTGTTGAAAAAGTAATGGGGAGAGTTTCTGCAATGACATTAGCCAAGTTTTTCAGTACACTGGGTTAGGTCCCATTGGGTCACATGAATTTATATGCATCCAGCTGCAGCAGGAAGCCTCAAGCTCAGAGTTAGCTGTGAGTTTATCATTTCCCTAATCACAGCCGTCCAAAAGAGAGCTTATGGCTCACTGATATTAAAGACAGAGGCAAAAAGGCAATAAATGCCTCTGCTTTGTCTGCATCCTGGTTTTGAGGTGACTGACCTAATCAAGTAATGGACCAATATTATCTCTTGTTCTTCTTTTGAAGTTAATGTATTTAAAAAAGAAGACCTTTCACTGTCCTTCAAAGTGCTACTTGGTTTCAACTTCAGCTGAGCTTTGGTCACACAAACTTTCTCCCTATAGCAGTGAATAGTATCTCTGTAGTCCTCCTGCATTGCTCTGTATTCTTCTGCCCTGTGCTGTCCGCTGTTTGGGTGAGATTTAGAGCTTTTTGAATCTCTTACTTTGAACATCTAAGTAAGGTCATTTAGATCAGTGTTTGCTAGCTTGTTTGTTTCTTTCTTCTTAAGTTCAAATAAAGATATTCACTGATTTTAATGCCTTGTTGAATATTCCTATCAATCATTCAATTCTCTCAGTAGCCGAAACTCTTGATATTTCAGTCCAACAAAATGTCAATGCTTATATGTATAAGAGAACATACTGTTCAGCCTTTTGTTAGATAGGCTCTCTATTGTCACATGTTATCATCTGCATCTCCCACAGGTTTTAAGACCAAAGGAATAAAAGCTTCTTCATGTTAGTCTACTGAGCACAGCTTTAGACTTGCCTTAGGTCAAACCAAGATTTTATATGAGAAACTGAAGAGTGGATGTTACATTAAACATTTTGAATGTAAATTGAAATGATTTCACAGTTTTTTGGTGTTTTTGGTTTTTTTTTTTTATGCCTTCAACATACGAGGTCTGGAATGCAGCACTGTCTTTGTCCGGGAAAGTGAAAATGCTGTTAAAAACCCTATAGCGACATCATGCAACACACCTGTATTTCCAAAGATCACACTGTCAACTTGATTTTAAGAGCTTCAGACATTCTAATCACACAACTACTTTCAAGCCTGTAAGGTGAGCTCTTTATTTTAATGGTAGTTCTTCACAAGATTTAGCTCTTTAATGATTGCTTGAGCTACTCACATGGGAAATCAGAGGGCAAAAGTCATGAAGCAGGACAACACTGGGCAGCTGGAGAAGGGAGGCTTAGAGGCTTGTTTAGAGTTTATTCCTTTTTTTGTTTTCCATAAAAGATAATGCTTATTGAGGAGTGCTAGACTTTAAAATGGAAAAAAAATCCAACAAAACAAATGCAAATTTATTTACAATGATATTGCATTTAAGAGATGAGGCAGAGCAGCTCAAATTATTTATATAATTGATTTTAATAATAATGTATCTCTTTTTAATA